TTCACCAGGTGCTAGATCAACCAGGCTGTGATGGATGTGTGGGGCAGCAGGCCACCGGCAGCAACTGGCTGGTTGACCAGGCAATCACCAGACGAGCCTGGCCCATGGCCGGGCTCAGAGAGTAGAGAAACTCTTGAAACTCTTCAAAGGTATGAGGAGGAATTTAAAGTAATGAGTCGCTCAGGCTGGAGTCGATGTGTTGAGTCCATCTTAGTGGATTGAATTATTATTATAATCAAGGGGGAAGCGCTAAACCCGGAGGATTATACAGCGTCTGGGGGGGGGGGATGTGGAAGGCATTCAGGCTTAATTCGGGGAACTGGAGCACAGATCCAATTCCCTAAATCAAGAGCCCCTCACCAACATCAAGGAACCTTCCTTGAGGGGAAGTTAGTAGATTGAAGACATCGACTCCAGGTTGAGGGACTGATTACCTCAGACTCCTTCTCATATTTCACTTTTCTCTACACTGGACTGAAGACGCCACTAGCTAACAGAAAGTTTCCAGAATAATAATGTCGAAATATTGCACAAGTATCTCATTTATCATCCTGTCGGTTTTTTCTAAACCACATATTGAACTATCTTGGACAGTACACAGATAACCCGCACATACAAGAGAGGAGCTCACGACGACGTTTCGGTCCCACTTGGACCATTGACGAAGCTCACACAAAGTCGTGAGCTCCTCTCTTCTATGTGCGGGTTATTTGTGTGTCGTTCCAGGCACGGTATTCTGCCTTCTTTTGTTATTTATTACCTTGGACAGGCAAGCATCGGTGTTAGCAGTGACAGCAACAGCAGCAGCTGTGGTGGTGATCATCGTAGAGATCTTCACTGGCCAGGAGTCCATCCCTGATCACCCCAGGTATCCCAACCCCACCGTCTCCTCCTTCTCGCTTGGGTTCGGTTCCATTCTCTTCGCCTTCGGAGGAGCAGCAGTCTTCCCAACCATCCAGAACGACATGAAGAACAGGTCTCTCTTCTGGAAGAGCATTTGTTTTGGATTTGCTGGTGAGTAACCTTTCAGAGAAGGGGACATTACTGTGCCCGAAATGCATTGCATACTAGTGGCTTTTGTTATTGTGTACCCCATACCCATCCTGAGGGAGGTAATCAAGATTACAGATGATTGTGACCAGATCTACCTGGAGTTCATTACCTTTGTAACTTGTTCAATTATCAGAACTTTGGGACCCAGTCCCTGGACCCATTATGTACCTCTGTAATGTTGAGGTACAGTCCCTGGACCCATTATGTACCTCTGTAATGTTGAGGTACAGTCCCTGGACCCATCATGCCCGAAATGCCTAGCCATGCTAAGCGTTCTAGTGGTACACTCTGTAATCACAATTTACTACATGTAAACCACACAATAACCAAATTTCTGTAAACTCAGCATTGTAATCCTTATAGAGAATAAACTTTGAATTGAATCATGCACTCTTTTGTGCCTAACAATCTTTTGTTACATATAAACAACATTATTTTTGCTCCTCATAAAGACATAGAATTGTACTGTACATGTGCTCGTCTGCTTCTCCAGTTCAACTCACTTATCCAGTGCATGTCTGTATAATCCTACGGGTTTAGCGCTTCCCCTTTGATTATAATAATAATAATAATAATATCCAGTGCATGTGTATTCATTTCTCTTCATCATTGATGAAAGTTAAGACACGTGTGCAACATCTGGGTATGTTTATTGTAGACGCTTCGCCATCCAGTGGCTTTATCAATACAAATTCTAGGACATAATTGGAAGACAGAAGAACTGTATACAGAAGATGAGGTAATCAGTCCCTCAGCCTTGGGTGGCCCGGTAGCCTGGTGGCTAAAGCTCCCGCTTCACACACGGAGGGCCCGGGTTCGATTCCCGGCGGGTGGAAACATTCGACACGTTTCCTTACACCTGTTGTCCTGTTCACCTAGCAGCAAATAGGTACCTGGGTGTTAGTCGACTGGTGTGGGTCGCATCCTGGGGGACAAGATTAAGGACCCCAATGGAAATAAGTTAGACAGTCCTCGATGACGCACTGACTTTCTTGGGTTATCCTGGGTGGCTAACCCTCCGGGGTTAAAAATCCGAACGAAATCTTATCTTATCTCTTATCTTGGAGTTGGTGTGGAGAGCACCGTAGTCGTGATGTTGGTGTGGAGAGCACCGTAGTCGTGATGTTGGTGTGGAGAGCACCGTAGTCGTGATGTTGGTGTGGAGAGCACCGTAGTCGTGATGTTGGTGTGGAGAGCACCGTAGTCGTGATGATTCTGGAGCACAGGCAAGAAACTGGCCAAGGTTTGGTTTTGGGTTTTGGGGGAGACCTGGCTAGTGTACATCATATGTATTAGTACTGGTAGAATTAACGACAGTATGTTAACTAAAAGGACACAAATGCAACTAATGTGACATTTTATTGTGGCAACGTTTCGCTCTCGAGGAGCTTTATCAAGCCGTTGATAAGGCTTTATCAAGCCGACTTGATAATGCTCTTGGAGAGCGAAACGTTGCCACAATAAAATGTCACATTAGTTGCACTTGTGTCCTTTTAGTTAACATATTGTAGATCAGTTGGCCTACTGCGATGCCACTCCTCTCTTGTATTCTTACGAGTCAGACGGGTTGGATGTGAACGGGACTTGCACATTGGCTGTCGGGGCTTATTGCTTGGGTAGCACTGGCGATGGGTTTACCTGGAGAGGATTTCGGGGGTCAACTCCCCCGCGGCTCGGTCTGAAACCAGGCCTCGTGGTGGATCAGTCTGATCAATCAGGCTGTTACTGCTGGCCACACGTAACCTGACGTACGAACCACAGTCCGGGTGGTCAGGTACTGACTTTAGGTGCCTGTACAGTGCCTTCTTAAAGACAGCCAGGGGTCTATTGGTAATCCTCCTTATGTATGTTGGGAGGCAGTTGAATATTCTTGGGCCCCTGACACTTATTGTGTTGTCACTTATCGTGCTAGTGGCGCCCCTGCTTTTCATCGGGGGAATGTTGCATCTCCTGCCGAGTCTTTTGCTTTCATGTGGAGTGATTTTCGTGTGCAGGTTTGGTACCAATCCCTCCAGAACCTTCCAAGTGTATATTATAATGTATCTCTTTCGCCTGTGTTGGGTTGTGCATATATTTTTGTTAGTGGGTTAGTTTTGACATGACCCTGCCAAGTATGGGTCACTACGCCTGTTGCAGTGTTTCTTTTTCCTTATTTATAATGTTACACTGTACTGAGTTCTGTCACTGGTTGATGTTTCTACAATCTAGTTCATTTGTGACTTTGTTAATGGTCCAAGTCGGACCGAAACGTCGTCGTAAGTAAATGTATTCAGGTATACACAAATACAGTTACATAGATTATCGTGTAGAAAGTACAGCATAGGGCCGTAGACGTGGCTTATATACTGTAGTGAGGTGAGGTGAAGCAGGCGGAGGCGGGGTCATAGTGGTACCATCCACTAGTCGAAGTAGGTCTTCGTCCAAAGGTTGAACAAGTGTTGAAGAATTCTTTGTAACAAGATCCCATGATGCTGCAGTGTCTGACAGTTGTGATGAATGGTTTGAAAAACCGACAAGTTGAAGATTGAGACACTTATGCAGCATATGGGAGTCTTTATTCAGGAAACGTTTCGCCACACAGTGGCTTCATCAACTTGTCGGTTTTTCAAACCATTCATCACAACTGTCAGACACTGCAGCATCATGGGATCTTGTTACAAAGAATTCTTCAACACTTGTTCAACCTTTGGACGAAGACCTACTTCGACTAGTGGATGGTACCACTATGACCCCGCCTCCGCCTGCTTCACCTCACCTCACTACAGTATATAGATTATCGTACATAGCAGCATACCTGGAGTTTACCTGGAGAGAGTTCCGGGGGTCAACGCCCCCGCGGCCCGGTCTGTGACCAGGCCTCCTGGTGAATCAGAGCCTGATCAACTAGGCTGTTGCTGCTGGCTGCACGCAAACCAACGTACGAGCCACAGCCCGGCTGGTCAGGAAACGACTTTAGGTGCTTGTCCAGTGCCAGCTTGAAGACTGCCAGGGGTCTGTTGGTAATCCCCCTTATGTATGCTGGGAGGCAGTTGAACAGTCTCGGGCCCCTGACACTTATTGTATGGTCTCTTAACGTGCTAGTGACACCCCTGCTTTTCATTGGGGGGATGTTGCATCGTCTGCCAAGTCTTTTGCTTTCGTAGTGAGTGATTTTCGTGTGCAAGTTCGGTACTAGTCCCTCTAGGATTTTCCAGGTGTATATAATCATGTATCTCTCCCGCCTGCGTTCCAGGGAATACAGGTTTAGGAACCTCAAGCGCTCCCAGTAATTGAGGTGTTTTATCTCCGTTATGCGCGCCGTGAAGGTTCTCTGTACATTTTCTAGGTCAGCAATGTTACCTGCCTTGAAAGGTGCTGTTAGTGTGCAGCAATATTCCAGCCTAGATAGAACAAGTGACCTGAAGAGTGTCATCATGGGCTTGGCCTCCCTAGTTTTGAAGGTTTTCATTATCCATCCTGTCATTTTTCTAGCAGATGCGATTGATACAATGTTATGGTCCTTGAAGGTGAGATACTCCGACATGATCAATCCCAGGCCTTTGACGTTGGTGTTTCGCTCTATTTTGTGGCCAGAATTTGTTTTGTACTCTGATGAAGATTTAATTTCCTCGTGTTTACCATATCTGAGTAATTGAAATTTCTCATCGTTGAACTTCATATTGTTTTCTGCAGCCCACTGAAAGATTTGGTTGATGTCCGCCTGGAGCCTTGCAGTGTCTGCAATGGAAGACACTGTCATGCAGATTCGGGTGTCATCTGCAAAGGAAGACACGGTGCTGTGGCTGACATCCTTGTCTATGTCGGATATGAGGATGAGGAACAAGATGGGAGCGAGTACTGTGCCTTGTGGAACAGAGCTTTTCACCGTAGCTGCCTCAGACTTTACTCTGTTGACGACTACTCTCTGTGTTCTGTTAGTGAGGAAATTATAGATCCATCGACCGACTTTTCCTGTTATTCCTTTAGCACGCATTTTGTGCGCTATTACGCCATGGTCACACTTGTCGAAGGCTTTTGCAAAGTCTGTAAATATTACATCTGCATTCTTTTTGTCTTCTAGTGCATTTAGGACCTTGTCGTAGTGATCCAATAGTTGAGACAGACAGGAGCGACCTGTTCTAAACCCATGTTGCCCTGGGTTGTGTAACTGATGGTTTTCTAGATGGGTGGTGATCTTGCTTCTTAGGACCCTTTCAAAGAATTTTTATGATATGGGATGTTAGTGCTATTGGTCTGTAGTTCTTTGCTGTTGCTTTACTGCCCCCTTTGTGGAGTGGGGCTATGTCTGTTGTTTTTAGTAACTGTGGGACGACCCCCGTGTCCATGCTCCCTCTCCATAGGATGGAAAAGGCTCGTGATAGGGCTTCTTGCAGTTCTTGATGAACACGGAGTTCCATGAGTCTGGCCCTGGGGCAGAGTGCATGGGCATGTCATTTATCGCCTGTTCGAAGTCATTTGGCGTCAGGATAACATCGGATAGGCTTGTGGCTCTCTCATAAAAAATTCATTTTGATCTTCGACTCTCAGTCTGGTTAGCGGCTTGCTAGAAACTGAGTCATATTGGGACTTGAGTAGCTCACTCATTTCCTTGCTGTCATCTGTGTAGGACCCATCTTGTTTAAGTAGGGGCCCAATACTGGACGTTGTTCTCGACTTTGATTTGACATAGGAGAAGAAATTGGGTTTCTTTCGATTTCATTTATGGCTTTTAGTTCTTCCCGCGATTCCTGACTCCTATAAGATTCCTTTAGCTTAAGTTCGATGCTTGCTATTTCTCTGACCAGTGTCTCCCTACGCATTTCAGATATATTGACCTCTTTTAGCCACTCTGTTATTCTTTTCCGTCGCCTGTAAAGGGAGCGCCTGTCTCTTTCTATTTTACATCTACTCCTCCTTTTTCTTAGAGGAATAAGCCTTGTGCATACATCGAGTGCCACCAAGTTAATCTGTTCTAGGCGTAAGTTGGGGTCTGTGTTGCTTAGTATATCTTCCCAGCTTATATCGGTTAGGACTTGGTTTACTTGGTCCCACTTTATGTTTTTGTTATTGAAGTTGAATTTGGTGAATGCTCCCTCGTGACTAATCTCATTATGTCGGTCTGGGGCTCCACGCATACATGTCTGAACCTCAATTATGTTGTGATCTGAGTATATTGTTTTTTGATATGGTGACATTTCTTATCAGATCATCATTGTTAGTGAAGATGAGGTCTAGTGTATTCTCCAGTCTAGTAGGCTCTATTATTTGCTGGTTTAAAATTGAATTTTGTGCAGAGATTTAAAAGCTCGTGTGAGTGTGAGTTTTCATCAGAGCTGCCTCCTGGTGTTATTACTGCAACAATATTATTTGCTATATTCCTCCATTTTAGGTGCCTTAAGTTGAAATCCCCCAGGAGCAAGATGTTGGGTGCAGGAGCTGGAAGATTTTCCAGACAGTGGTCAATTTTTAACAGCTGTTCCTGGAATTGCTGGGATGTTGCATCCGGAGGCTTGTAGACTACCACAATGACTAGGTTTTGGTTCTCGACCTTTACTGCTAAAACTTCCACTACATCATTTGAGGCATTTAGCAGTTCTGTGCAAACAAGTGACTCTGCAATGTACAGGCCAACCCCCCCCCTTTTGCCTGTTCACTCTGTCACATATGTGTAGATTATCATACATAACAGCATATGTGCAGATTATCATACATAGCAGCATATGTGTAGATTATCATACATAGCAGCATATGTGTACATTATCATACATAACAACATATGTGTAGATTATCATACATAACAACATATGTGTAGATTATCATACATAACAACATATGTGTAGATTATCATACATAACAACATATGTGTAGATTATCATATATAACAACATATGTGTAGATTATCATACATAACAGCATATGTGTAGATTATCATACATAGCAGCATATGTGTAGATTATCATACATAGCAGCATATGTGTAGATTATCATACATAGCAGCATATGTGTAGATTATCATACATAGCAGCATATGTGTAGATTATCATACATAGCAGCATATGTGTAGATTATCATACATAACAACATATGTGTAGATTATCATACATAACAACATATATGTAGATTATCATACATAACAACATATGTGTAGAGAACCTGGGATAACCCCAAAAATTCAGAGTGACTTATTTTCATTGGGGTTCTTTTAATACCTTATTATTATACTATAAATAAAATAATATCTTATTATATTATAAAGGAGATATACTAAGAAGCTTCTCTCTCGTAAGCTTCTCTCTCGTAAGCTTCTCTCTCTCTCTCCTATGTGCAGGTTATTTGTGTATCATTTCAGTCACTGTATCATGTCTATGCTTTTTATCCATATCAGTAACAGCCTAGTTGATCAGACCCTGATCCACCACGAGGCCTGGTCTCAGACCGAGCCGTGGGGGCACTGACTCCCGAAACCCTCTCCAGGTCTACTCCAGGTATATCCCCCTGCGCTACCGTCCACAGGATGGATATAGGGTGCACGGTAAACTAGCCACTTCGGTGGCAAAATCTAATCTCAAGCAGGTTCTTCTTACGTTTCTACACCTGCAGGTATATTAACACTGTACCTGCCGGTGGCGCTGTCTGGCTACATTATGTACGGTGACCAAGTGAAGAGCAACATCCTACTGACTGTGGACTCCAGTGCGGCTGTCACCGTCGCTATTGCTCTGCAGATCGTCAATTTAGTGTGCACCTTCATTATCAGTTGCAACCCCGTCTCCCAGTCCATCGAACAACTCTTTCATATTCCACACAGTGAGTGTTGTTTATTGTAACTTTGTTTACATTCAATTTCTCTACGTTGAGAGTTTTCCCTGGTTAATGGTTCGAGTTAATAGTCCTAGTTAATGATCTTATTTAATAGGGGCATGGGATTCGATCTCTGAATAATTTAAAACAGTTGTTATATAAGAATAAACTAACAGGCGTTTTGTTGCTATCCATATGTAAAGTAAGGCCAAACTATTGACGTCTTTTGAAGTCATACTGGTACCTGATAGGACTGGTCATAATGGTGATAATTTCCACAGTCTGGTGAAGGAGGTATGGACACATATTAGGACTGGTGATAATTTTCACAGTCTGGTGAAGGAGGTATGGACACATATTAGGACTGGTGATAATTTTCACAGTCTGGTGAAGGAGGTATGGACACATATTAGGACTGGTGATAATTTTCACAGTCTGGGCAGTTCATTGGGTATCTGTAATTGTATAAAGGTTAAGAACACCTGACCTGGGCCATTAAGAGATAATGTTAGAATTACACACAAACTATTAAATAGACACAGACGCAACTAATGTGACAATTTATTGCGGCAACGTTTCGCTCTCCAGGAGCTTTGTCAAGACGTTACGGCGAAACATTGCCACAATAAAATTTCACATTACTTGCATCTGTGTCCTTTTACTCAGCATTATGAGATATACCATTTCCTGTCATCCTCACAGATTTCAACTGGAGGCGGTGTGTTGTTCGATCTGTCACAGTGTTGCTGCAGATGTTGATTTGTTTGGCCATTCCTGACTTCGGTCTGATCCTCAACCTGATTGGTGGTTCTCTGATTACCCTCTGTACCTTCGTACTTCCTCCACTCATGTACATGCGACTGATAGATGATCACAGTGGGCCCTGGAAACATAGGTGGGTGGAGGACCAGCTTGGAATGTGTCTGTCAGTGTTTGTATTTATATTACGACTGATAGATGATCACAGTGGACCCAGTAAACATAGGTGGGGGGGACCAACTTGGAATGTATTGGTCTGTGTGTGTCTGTCAGTGTCTGTCAGTGTTTGTATTTATATTACGACTGATAGATGATCACAGTGGACCCAGTAAACATAGGTGGGTGGAGGACCAACTTGGAATGTATTGGCCTTTGTGTGTCTGTCAGTGTCTGTCTGTGTCTGTAAGTGTTTGTGTTTATATTACGACTGACAGATAATCACAGTGGACCCTGGAAACATGGGTGGGGGAGGACCAGCCTGGAACGCATTGGTCTGTCACTGTCTCACTCTCCCTGTCAGTGTCTGTCTCACCATGTCTGCCGCTGTCTCACTCTCCCTGTCTGTGTCTGTCTTACAATGTCACCGTCTTTGTCTCACACTCTGGATATACAGGCAGGAGGACAACATTTCTGAACTAATATTAAAGTCAAGGACTCATAAAACACCTACAATTTACACATACGTGAATCCGTTTTGAACTCTTGTGTTGTGTTAGTTGTCTTGACTACAAGTTACTAATAGTTACATTTGGCACAGGACGATGCCCATGTGGGAGAGGATCTTCTTGGTGGAGATCATTATAGTGGGAGTGATCGGTGGAGTGTGTTCCACCATAACTGCCGTCTACGAGATCGTAGAAGCTTCATTCCAAGAATCTTGTTTCACGACCTTCAGCCACTGTACCAAGTGAACCAATTGTCTATCTTCAACCCTCAACCACTGTACCGAGTGAACCGATTGTCTATCTTCAACCTTCTGGTCCACCATCTACGAGATCGTAGAAGCTTCATTCCAAGAATCTTGTTTCACGAGCTTCAGCCACTGTACCAAGTGAACCAATTGTCTATCTTCAACCCTCAACCACTGTACCAAGTGAACCAATTGTCTGTCTTCAACCTTCAACCACTGTACCAAGTGAACCAATTGTCTATCTTCAATCTTATGAGTCCACCCAGTAATGTCTTCCCTTAGGTCAGGTGTTCTTGACGATTTTAATATTATAGACACCCAATAAACTGCCCAATATATGTCCATACCTCCTTCACCAGACTGTGGAAATTATCACCATTATCACTAGTCCTAATATATGTCCATACCTCCTTCACCAGACTGTGGAAATTATCACCATTATCACTAGTCCTAATATATGTCCATACCTCCTTCACCAGACTGTGGAAATTATCACCATTATCACTAGTCCTAATGTATGTCCATACCTCCTTCACCAGACTGTGGAAATTATCACCATTATCACTAGTCCTAATATATGTCCATACCTCCTTCACCAGACTGTGGAAATTATCACCATTATCACTAGTCCTAATATATGTCCATACCTCCTTCACCAGACTGGAAATTATCACCATTATCACTAGTCCTAATATATGTCCATACCTTCTTCACCAGACTGTGGAAATTATCACCATTATCACTAGTCCTAATGTATGTCCATACCTCCTTCACCAGACTGTGGAAATTATCACCATTATCACTAGTCCTAATGTATGTCCATACCTCCTTCACCAGACTGTGGAAATTATCACCAGTCCTATTAGGTACCATTATGACTCCAGAAGATGTCAATATCTTGGTTACACTTGACATATAGCTAGCAACACAACACCTAATAGGTTATTCAAATATAACTTTTTTTAAATTGTTCAGAGACTGAGTCCTATACCCTCATTATTTGGTTCCCATACCCCCATTATTTAGTTCCCACACCCCCATTATTTGGTTCCCACACCCCCATTATTTGGTTCCCATACCCCCATTATTTAGTTCCCACACCCCCATTATTTGGTTCCCACACCCTCATTATTTGGTTCCCATACCCCCATTATTTAGTTCCCACACCCCCATTATTTGGTTCCCACACCCCCATTATTTGGTTCCCATACCCCTATTATTTAGTTCCCACACCCCCATTATTTGGTTCCCACACCCCCATTATTTGGTTCCCATACCCCCATTATTTAGTTCCCACACCCCCATTATTTAGTTCCCACACCCCCATTGTTTGGTTCCCACACCCCCATTATTTAGTTCCCACACCCCCATTATTTGGTTCCCACACCCCCATTATTTAGTTCCCACACCCCCATTATTTGGTTCCCACACCCCCATTATTTGGTTCCCATACCCCCATTATTTGGTTCCCATACCCCCATTATTTGGTTCCCATACCCCCATTATTTGGTTCCCATACCTCCATTATTTGGTTCCCATACCCCCATTATTTGGTTCCCATACCCCCATTATTTGGTTCCCACCCCCATTATTTGGTTCCCATACCCCCATTATTTGGTTCCCATACCCCATTATTTGGTTCCCATACCTCCATTATTTGGTTCCCATACCCCTATTATTTAGTTCCCACACCCCCATTATTTGGTTCCCACACCCCCATTATTTGGTTCCCATACCCCCATCATTTGGTTCCCATACCCCATTATTTGGTTCCCACACCCCCATTATTTGGTTCCCATACCCCCATCATTTGGTTCCCATACCTCCATTATTTGGTTCCCATACCTCCATTATTTGGTTCCCATACCTCCATTATTTGGTTCCCATACCCCCATTATTTGGTTCCCATACCTCCATTATTTGGTTCCCATACCTCCATTATTTGGTTCCCATACCTCCATTATTTGGTTCCCATACCTCCATTATTTGGTTCCCATACCCCCATAATTTAGTTTTCACATCCCCCATTATTTAGTTCTTATACCCCCATTATTTAGTTCCCATACCCCCATTATTTGATGTGGGCGTATTCATACCCATTTGGGGTATGGATGCACCCCTAGCTTAGCCTAACATTAATTCCTTCCACTGTCTCAAGCGCTGCACGCATCATAGCTCCTGACGACGCACGAGAATGTGAAAGATCTCGAGTTAAATATTTCCATCCCCACTTGACTTGTGACAGCTACTAACTTACCCTTCATAAGGTGAATAATTTTATAACTAACCAATGACGTTTTCGAATGATCTAGATAGCTATTATTACACAAATAACCCGCACATAAAAGAGAGAAGCTTACGACGACGTTTCGGTCCGACTTGGACCATTGACAAAGTCAATGACTTTGTCAATGGTCCAAGTCGGACCGAAACGTCGTCGTAAGCTTCTCTGTTTTATGTGCGGGTTATTTGTGTATCGTTCCAGTCACGGTATTGTGCCTTTTTGTTATTTAGCTATTATTGTTTAGTGCTTCTTATATTGCAATTGTTGTCAACATGGTAGACCACCTGGGGACCCGTGGCTTTTTATTAGTGGGCCACGGACCCCTGAGGGCCATGGACCCCTGAGGGCCACGGATCACTGCATTGAGAGAACCAGGTGTCACTCTTGTGCTGTAATCTATTGCAATTTCATGTATAAGACACAGGTCACCTCAGATGATGTGGTAGACCTTGTACCAGCATCAAGGAATCCCCTTGAGGGATGCTACAAGCAACAGGGGTTAACAATAGCATTTATAGATCTGATGTATGTAGGGAAAATCCGTAATTAGACTTTGTTTTTAGTGTACTAGTTAAGTATGGTATATATATATATATATATATATATATATATATATATATATATATATATATTATATATATATATATATATATATATATATATATATATAAATATAAATATATATATATATATATATATATATATATATATATATATATATATATATATATATATATATATATATATATATATATATATACATATATATATATATATATATATATATATATATATATATATATATATATATATATATATATATATATATATATATATATATATATATTATATATATATATATATATATATATATATATATATATATATATATATATCTGTGTGAATAACCTGTTTAAAAAACTAACAGGTTCATGAGACGCTTTTACAACGTTGGGTATCATAATTCTGGAAACAATGACCACAGTCAGAACTGGACTGGAAAAATGGTCTGGTGATACCGACTACATGTGGGAAAAGACATGTACAGTTTGGGACATTTGTAATAGAACATGTTTCGCCAGCCAGTGGTTTTCTAGGTCCAATACAGATAAGTTTGGTTGAAGATCAGGAGTTTGAGGTAATCATTCCTGACATGTTGCCGGTTGGGACCGGCCTTGAGCACATGGATGCTCTGGCTGCGAGGTCCACTCTCTGTCGAAGGCTGATGTGGACAGTGGTAAGTGGGTGCATGTCATGAGGTTATCTTAGCGGCCTCATGTGCTGCGTCATTGCTTGGAATGCCGACATGGCTCGGGGCTCTAAGTCTTCAGACGGCGTCGGATTCGCAGGAGTGTTTCCGGACAGCGTCGTGCGGGGGCATTTACTATCTTCAGCTAGCATTTTTACTGCTGAACTGTATGCCATTCTTGCAGCACTTATTCGTATCGCATCTATGCCTGTGTCATCATTTGTAGTAGTCTCAGACTCCCTTAGTGCTCTACAGGCTATACGAAAATTAGATACATCTCATCCCCTAGTTCTCCGTATCCAACTTTGGCTACGCCGTATCTCTACCAAACATAAAGATATTGTTTTTTTGTTGGGTCCCTGGTCATGTCGACATACAGGGCAATGAACAGGCAGACACTGCTGCGCGGTCAGCAGTACATGACCTACCAATTTCCTATCGAGGTGTTCCATTTCTGGACTATTTTGCTGCAATAGCTACCCACCTTCGCACCCGTTGGCAACAACGTTGGTCAACTCTGCTTGGTAACAAACTTCATTCTATTAAACCGAGCATAGGTTACTGGCCGTCTTCTTGTCATCAGTGCCGAGGTTGGGAGACCACTCTCTCCTGCCTTCGCATTGGTCACACTCGTCTTACTCATGGGTATCTCATGGAGAGGCACCCTGTTCCTCTCTGTGAGCAGTGTCAAGTTCCAGTATCGATTAGCCACATTCTGTTAGACTGCCCTCTCTATCAACGAGCACGCAGAATTTACCTCCAACGTCGTCTTCGTTCTACTACTCTCTCTTTACCTTCCCTTCTTGCTGATGGACCCTCCTTTAATCCTGACTCTCTCATTGACTTCTTGACAACGACTGATTTACTCCACAAACTCTGATGATACTTTTCGCACTCCCCTCAGCCCTTTCTAGTTCAGTCTCTTGCTGCCCTTTACCCTTTCACCATCCACTACCCCGCTGTTATCCGTAACCTATTACTCATCCATCTCCCTTTTGCCACCTGATGCCCTCGCTTCCTTCCTGCCCTGCAGCGCTGTATAGCCCTTGTGGCTTAGCGCTTCTTTTTGATTATAATAATAATCGGGATCCAGTTGACTGTAGCACGCCGTCCGTGCTTGTCGAATGTTTGAAGAGTCCACCGTATTGAAGTGATCAGAAGTACGTTGTCCCTTGGCTCGTTGTGCTGGAGGGCTTGTATCGCCTACTCAGCCCTACTGGGAGTCAATGTGACTGATTGGAGAGCGTTGGTGTTCCTGGATCGCACGCTCCAGCTGCCCTGCGGTCAGCCTCTGGGCCCTTGGAACCATCGATGTAGTAGACTGCACACCCAGGATTCTCGGCGATGGCTATGCTAGCAGTGACATGTCGTTGGAGGGTGTCATATTGCTGACTGGCAAGTCAGCTATATGCACCACTGCAAGGTAGAACGACGTAGCCTTCTGCAGGCCGGTCGCAGCAGTCTCTTCTGAGGTCAGGAAGGGTCCAGGTTCACCGACGCCCAGGAAAGACCTCTGTATTTTGTCATTGACGGTTTAGAAGCACCTTCATTCTGTCCCCTCCTGGTTGGTGAAGAATGTTGGCCACCCTTGTGGCGGGGATGAAACCTATCCTGCCCTCTAGAAGGTGACTACGTTGGCCCATCTGGGCACTCCTAGCATGACTCTAGCTGCGGTGTTCCGTACAACTTCCAAACGCAGGCTACTGGAGGGGCTGTTGTGTGCAAGTGCTCCGTAGTCCATAGGCGAGGGCACTGCATATACATAGATAATTTTCAGGACTTTTGGGACTCGTATTTCTTACTCCACGACCAGAACTAGGCTTGGAAAATGGTATTGTGATACCCAATCCTTCTTATCGCGCCTTTCCATCTGATTTTTGGAACTACAGATATACTCGTTTCTTAGTTATCTCTATATTACGACCGAAGAACCATTCCAGGCAAAACGTTCTCTAATAAATGTGC